AGAATGGGTGTGGGGAGAGCAGTGGGGAGACTTTGTAGTCATCCAGGTAGGAGAGATGCTGATGGTATCAGCCAAGGTGGAGTTCATTGATTTATTCATTCAACACATAGTTGTAGAGCACCTATGTGCAGGCCCTGTTGGCCTTAGAGATAGAACAGCTAACAAAACAGACATATATGTGCCCTGGTGGAGATTATCTTCTAAAGGTGGGAGACAATGTTAAAATGGTATTAATACTTAGGGAGAAAAATAGAATTGGAAAGAAAACATACAGTCGGAAAGGGGAGGGAGACTTCATTGCAGTTTGTAATTTAAAATAGGGTCAGGGAGGGTGTAAATGACATTGGAATAAGAGCCTGAAGGAGGTGAGGGAGCGCCCCAATCTGGGGCAGAGGATCTCGGCAGAGGGAACAGCGAGTACACAGCCCTGCAGTAGGAGCATGCCTGGAACAGTGGCTGGAAGACTGGGGTGGGGGCGAAGAGGAGGAGGAGATGAGGCCCAAGAGGTAATGGGCCTAAGAGGGGGATCCTGAAGGTCCTCGGAGACCATTGTAAGGCCTTTGTTTTTTTCCTCCCCAAGAGGGCTTCTTCAGAGGATTTTGTCAGGGTTGTGACTTGATCTAACTTATTTTTTTTTTTAAAGATTTTATTTATTTTTTGACAGAGAGAGCGAGAGAGGGAACACAAGCAGGGGGACTGGGAGAGGGAGAAGCAGGCTTCCCGCTGAGCAGGGAGCCCGATGTGGGGCTCAATCCCAGGACCCTGGGATCATGACCTGAGCCGACGGCAGACGCTTAACGACTGAGCCACCCAGGCGCCCCAATCTAACTTATTTTTAAACAGAATCGCTCTGCTGCTGTGTTGAGAAAAGATGAAAGGGGAACAGAAAATGGCAGCAGGGAATCTTCTTTTTTTTTTTTTTTTTAAGATTTCATTTTTTAAGTAACCTCTCCACCCAACGTGGGGCTTGAACTTACAACCCCGAAATCAAGAGCATGCTCCACCTCCACCAACTAAGCCAGCCAGGCGCCCCAGCAGGGAGTCTTTATATGGGATGAGAGTGGCTGAACCAAGATGATAGAATTGGAGATGGTGAGAAGTGATTGGATTCAGAATATACTTTGCACACTGAGCCAAAAAGATTTACTGAGAGATTAGATGTGGGGTGTGAGATAAGAAAAGATTCCAAAATGACTAGGATTTTTGGCCTGAGAAACTGGGAGGACGGGGTTGCCACTGACTGAGATGGGGAAAAACTGGGAGAGAAGCAGGGTTCTGGGAGGCAGATCAGGAGCTCAGTTTGGGATGTGTTAAATTTGGGGTGTCTGTAAGACACGCAAGGGTGTCATGCCAAATAGGGAGTTGCATGAGCGAAACTGGAACTCAAGGGAGAGGTCTGGGCTGGAGATACAAACTTGGTTCTCATCAGCAGAGCAATGGTATTTAAAGCCATGAGTCTGGATGAGGTCACCAAGGGAGTGCATGCAGACGGAAAAGAGATGAGCTGCTCCACGGAGCCTGGGGCACCTGGCACTAAGAGGTTAGGCAATTAAAGAGGGATCAGCGAAGAAGACTGAGAAGTCACAGCCAGCAAGGTAGAAGGAACACCAGGCAAGTGTGTTGTCTTCACAGCCAAGTGCAAAAGTGTTCAAGGAGCATCAAGGGATCAACCGTGTCAAACGCAGCCCCTGGGTTACCAAGATGAAGACCTAGAAACGGCTGCTGCTGATTTAGCAATGTTCACTGGTGACCTTGAGAAGAGCAGTGTCATTGAAGGCCTGACCCAAATGGGCTCTTGTAGCAGAGATCGGGAGAAGTGGACAGATTCCTCTGGGCAGGTGCCGCTTACCGAGCCCCTGCCAGGAGTCAGAGATGCTGTACCTACTCGCTGTTGGTGCCAACACCTCAGTGAGGAAACTGAAGCTCACACAGGCTCAGGGCTTGCCCAAGGTCCCACAGCAGAGCTGGGGTTTCCCACCCAGGCCTGTCTGACTCTGAAGCCTAGGACCTTTCTTTCTACTCCAGTGCATCTGACACTGGAGTGCAGGTCCCTCCAGGCCTCATCCCCCCACCTCCTCCTCTCAAGCTGCACACAGCTAGCCGGGACCTACTGGGACATTCGTGTCTTGCCTGGTGGGTGTGATTTACCTAGGTGTAGACAAACATCCGCCTACCAGTTTTCCTTGCAACACCTGCAGCACGCACAGCTGCTAGGAGAATGACAGTAAACAGACCTCACCCTCAGCCTCAAGCTTAGTACGCTCACACGGAAGCTTTCTGGCCCCGGACAGTCCCGGGTTCAAATCCTGCCTCTGCCACATGCTAGTTCTATGACCCTGGGCAAATCACTTCATGGGGTAAGCTTTGACCGTCTCATCTGTATAATGGGCATAACAATTTCTGCCTCTCAGAGCTCATAGAAGGATGCAGGATAGGGGTACAAAGGCCTAGCTCAGTTCCCAGTATATAGTAAACACTCACTAAATGATTGCTGCTAGTTATATTGCCCACTGGAGTTGGAACAGAGTTTGCAGGTGTCTGGGAGGTAGACTAATCGGGGCCAGGCAGCCATCTGCAGTTGGTGTGGAGAAAGCGGGGTGGGCTGTCCTGGAGCCTAGGGGCTGGCCAACTTGGAAGGGCCCTTAGGGAGACAGGGCCTCAGCTGGGGCCCTTGCCTGGAGCCCAGGAAGCTGCAAGGGAGGGAATAAGGGAAAAACTGTGAGCCTCAGATTTTGTTGCATAACACATATTACTTCATACTGCCTTAAACAGAGGCAGGAGGCTGTAACTAGTAAGAGCCGGGGCTCTGGTGACAGATGCTGGATTCAAGTCCAGGCTCCTTCACTTACCAGCTGAGTGACCCCAAATTGCTTTACTTTTCCCATCTATAAAAAAGATATTTATAGTGCTCCTCCATAAGTAATTGTCAGTGAGGACTAAAACAAATATGTGTAAAATGCTTTGAATATAGGAAGCTGAGAAATTGAGAAATATGTAACTGTTAAGGGTTATTATTATGACTAAAATCACAATATTGTGAGATAGGTACTATGCCTATCCCGCAACAGAAGCTGTGGCACAGAGAGGGTCTGTAACTAGCCCAAGGTCACACACTTGATGGGGAAGCCAGAATTCACATGCAAAGAGTTTGCCTTCAGAGCCCACATTCAGCCACAGGACACCTGTCTCCCTGAAAAAGGCGCCCAGAGTCCCAAACGTGACCCCTTGGGAGCGTCCTCTCCCTACACCCACATTGTCACCCACAGGGGTGGGGGTTTGCCACCTCCCAAGAGGGCCAGATTTCCCAGAGGAGAGGACTTAGTTGGTGGAGGCATCCAGTAAAAGCAAAAAATGCTTCCTTAGATAGAGCTTCTCATGGACCCTGGCCCTGCTCCCTGAGCCTGCGTTTCGGGGGCCGGGTCCCCATTGTTCCCTTCAGTGCTCAGTAGCAGCAGATGGCTGCGGGGCTCAACATGCAGAGGTTTATGAGACCCACAGGGAAAGGGCAGGAAGTGGTGTTTGCTGGCACATGAACTCTGCCAGGCACTTCCCTGACATCCCTGCTAGCTTGGGCTCATTATCCCCATTTTACAGATGTGAAAAGTGAGACTTAAAAAAGGTGGACTGGTTGGGGCGCCTGGGTGGCTCAGATGGTTAAGCATCTGCCTTCAGCTCAGGTCATGATCCCAGGGTCCTGGGATCAAGCCCCACATCGGGCTCGCTGCTCAGCGGGGAGCCTGCTTCTCCCCTTCCCTCTGTTTCTCCCCCTGCTCACTCTCTCTCTCTCTCTCTGTATCTCTGTCTCCAATGAACTAAAAAAAAAAAAGTGGATTGGCTTCACCAAGGTTACCTGCTGGGGAAGCATGCCGTCCATTCCCGTCTTGGGGTACTAAAATCAGAACCGGGCCTGTCTTTCAACTCTCCAGAATACACACATGCTCACCCATGTGCATATACAGATCCATACCAAATCACATGGCTTCCTTACTTGGCACTTGGCTGTCTTTTCCAGGGATCTTGAAATATTATTGTCTTTTTTTTTTTTAATTTTTTCTAAAGATTTTATTTATTTATTTGACAGAGAGAGAGAGAGAGAGAGAGAGATCACAAGTAGGTAGACAGGCAGGCAGAGGGAGAGGGAGAAGCAGGCTCCCCGCTGAGCACAGAGCCCGATGCGGGGCTCGATCCCAGGACGCCGGGATCTTGACCTGAGCCGAAGGCAGACGCTTAACTGACTGAGCCACCCGGGTGCCCCTTGAAATATTATTGTCTTAAAAGAAGAAATCTGTGGGTGTTTGGGAAAGGAAAAAAGGTGACAAAGTGAAAGTAGCTGGCTGCCGCGCCCATGGGGGAGTGAGCAACACTGCATCCCACTTGTGCCCAAGCTCATGTCCTTCCTCTTGGCCAGTCCCACGTGCCCAGCACTGGCACCCTTTGTGCACCAGGCCTTGGGGTGGGCCCCGTGACCCCAAAGTAAAGCAGAAAGGTGGGGGAGGCAGACATGGAAACCAGTCATTACCGCTCCGGGCATTAATCAGTGCTACTGACTTTTTCTCTGTCTTTCCGATACACCCTGCTCCCTTCTGCCCCTTCTGCAGATGCTCTTCTTTTTGCCAGAACCCTCTCCTCCTTGCTTTGTCAACCCCAGCTCATCCTCTGGCTCTCAGCTTGGTTTTTCCTTCTTTGGGAAGCCCCCCAAACATAGGTTAACCACCTCTGCTGTGTTGCCCTCAGACATAGTCCTTATTCTATGCTGTAACTGCCTAGCTGTTTGTCTGTCTACCTGCCAGAAGGTAAGCTCCACAGAGGCAGGGAGCATGGCTGTGTTCTCACCACGGTATCATTAGTATCTGGAACAGGGCCTGGCACACAGAAGGAACTCGGTAAGCATGTTGTGTGAATGAATGGATGTTAGTTGGACGAGGGAGAGATCTCCGTGTGGGGCTGATGGCAAGGATGTGCTATCTGACTCTCTCTCCTCTCTTGTGTTGGTCTTCCAGCTGTGGCAGCCAGGACCCCCCTAGAGCCAAGACCTTCTCCAGAAGGTGACCCCTCCCCGCCGCCACCACCACCACCGATGTCAGCCCTGGTCCCCGACACTCCCCCAGACACCCCTCCTGCCATGAAGAATGCCGCTAGTTCTAAGGAACTCCCACTGGAACCAGAGAGCCCCCCAGGGCCAATTGGGCCTAGATCAGCCCCCCAGCAGGAAGAGTCTCCTTTCTCAGAAGTGAAGATCAGGGGACCCACCCCACCAGTCACAGGCCCACGGGATGCCAGGCCTCCTCGAAGGAGCAGCCAGCCGTCCCCGACAGCGGTGCAAGCCTCTGACGGCCCTCCCACCAAGCAAGGTATATATGGTGTCCCTCATCCTGGGCCAAACTCCTCGGCTCGGGCCTCCAGCCCTGGTTGACGCCACTGGAGGGAATCTCCTGGGCCCAGGAGGAGATGATAAAAGGGATGGGGATGAGACCTGGGGGAGGGCCCTGAGGTTGACTCCCCTTTTTGGGGCGAGCCTCTGACCTAAGTCTCTTCTCATTCCCTTGACTAAGATGTAAAGAAAGCAGGAGAGAGACACAAGCTGGCAAAGGAGCGGCGAGAAGAACGGGCCAAGTATCTGGGTGAGTGTTGGGGAAGCGTCATCATCCCTACCACCCTCACCGTCAGTCTCTTATCCACAGCACTAACACTTTTGAACGCTTAATTGCGTGTCCTGTGCTAAGAGCTGTACGTGCATTATCCCATTTAATTCTCTCCACCTGTTCTCAGGTTGGGGAAACAGAGGCTCAGAGAGATGAAATCATTTTCCTAAGCCACACACAGCTAGTGGAATACCTGCGATTCAGACCCAGAAGCCTCATCTCACCCTCAATCCCATGCTCTTAACCACGCAATACGTGAAAATCTGTCCAGCAGGCTCCAAAGTCAGACAGGGATCTGGCCCTAAAGAACTCATGTCTCCTTTAGCACCGAGAAACCATGAGGCCAATGGGGGAGAAAGAGACCTTCCATCAGGGAAATCCTCCTTCTAGGCCTGAGCCTGTCTTCCAGAAGCCCTTCAGTATGAGGCGGGGAGTCTGGGAGCAGAGGGCCCACCCCTCCCCCGCCTCCAAGCAGGCAGAAGAAAGACCCACCTGGGGCCAGGGTAACAGGGAAGGCCATTTACTTGACTGAGACCCCTCACACCCCCTGGGGCTCCTTCCCCACAGCGGCCAAGAAAGCAGTGTGGCTGGAGAAGGAGGAGAAGGCCAAGGTGTTGCGGGAGAAGCAGCTCCAGGAGCGCCGGCGGCGGCTGGAGGAGCAGAGGCTTAAAGCCGAGCAACGCCGGGCAGCCCTGGAGGAGCGGCAGCGGCAGAAGCTGGAGAAGAACAAGGTGCGTGCGTGCTCAGCGCTAACTAGGGGTGCACGGGTCTGCGGGCACGTGCACGCACGCACACGCGTGGACGCTGGCTCAGTGTGGACGCACATCTGTGTCCACGCCCCTGCGTCATCTGTGTCCATGCGGTAGTATCTGTATCCGTATCTACAGCTGTGTCCCTGAGCGTGCACCATCTGGGCATCTGTGCGGCTGCAGATACATTTAGTTCTGTGCATGCTGGGCGGGGGGGGGGCACCTGTAGCCGTGGGCGAGTCCGTGCGAGTATTTGTGTGTGTGTCCCAGGCGGGTGTGTTTGATGCAGGCGGAGATGTGTCTCTGTGAATGTGCTGAGCTCCAGGATGGTAGGAGGGCCCTGGCTTGAGCCCTGGTGAGGAAAGGAAAGAGAAAGTGGCCGGGCCCCCTGCAGGGGTGGGGGGGTGGGGGCTTAGGCTAAAAGGAGAACGTAGCCCCAAGGTCAGGACCCTCGGGGCCAGGGGGACATGGCCCCCGCTTGGGAGCCTCAGGCAGGGAAAGTCCCACCCCATCCTCAGAGAAACAGCTCATACATCCAGGAAATGACTCAAGAACAGTGAAAGGCTCCCCAAGAACAAGTTGGAAGGGATTTGTTACAAATGGTCTTTAATCATAGCAAGGATTCAGTAACCTTGGTTACCTGCAATGAGTCAGGGAAAACTTGGGTGGGAGAGACATTGTCACAGCAGAGAGAAGGGCCTTTCTCCAAGGTATGCTGAATGAGTCTGAGCCCAGACCTCTCCCCTCTCCCCTCACCCCACCAGGAGCGCTATGAAGCAGCCATCCAGCGGTCAGTGAAGAAGACTTGGGCTGAAATCCGGCAGCAGCGCTGGTCCTGGGCAGGAGCCCTGCACCACAGCTCCCCAGGACGTAAGACCAGTGAGTAGGCTAGAGGGCCTGGGGCGGCGGGGGGGGGGCGAGGCAGGGGCCTGATGAGTGGGGCCAGGGAGGAGCTTCGGTGCCAACAGGTGGCAGCCCCCTGCAGCAGCAGGTATGCCTTGCTTCATGGGACTTGTGTCTTCTGGAATGGTCTTGTAAACCAAGCTGTCCCTTCCCAAGGACTTCTGCTATCAAGTCAGAGGTGAATTCTCTTCGTTTGGTTTGCTCTTCAAACCGCTGTCGTTTTAGATGAGCCTCTTTGTTCCCGTTATTACTATTAGTCGATGATACAGAAAAGAACACTTTAATGCCCTGCAGACACTGGGTATTTAAGAAAACTGTCGCCCCCTTGTGAACTTGTCTTGGGAGGTGGATGTGTGTGTCTCTGAGTTTTCTTCATGTAGGGCCATCAGGATCAGTGTCTGATTCTTGGCTGGCATGTATGTCCCCTTGTGTTTGGATGTCTTTATGTAATGGCAAAGTTCAATATTTCCAGCTGTGTTCCTTTCAGTGTACGTGCTCATGGATCTGTGTGTTGTGTGTCTTAGTACGTGTTTGCCTTGGTGTGTCTGTGGCTTTGTGTACCTCAGTGAGGGCCCCCGAGTCAGACAGAACTGGGTGAGGACCCCAGCTCTGGCACTTGCAGTGTGACCTCTAACCTCTCGATGTCAGTCTCCTCATCTGTAAAATGGGGATAACCATACTACTTGCCCCCGAGGTTGTAGGTAGATGTGTGGGAGGATCAAGTGAGGTAACATGTGTGTGGTGCCCAGCACGGTGCCTGGTACGTGGTAAGCAGCCAACAAACGTCAGCCATTACAGATATCGTGATGAAGTTGTCTCGATGGGTTTGTGCCTGTGTGCATCCAGGTCTGACACATCGTCTGTTAGTGTTTGTGTTTCTGGGTCTGTGCATGTCTGCACACACGTGTGCATGTGGAACTGTGCCTTTTACTCTCTATGCCCGTGCCCGCATGTCTTTGTCTTTGTGTGCCCCTATGGATGTGTGGGTTTGTGGGACCGTGACTGTGGTTCTTCTGTTGAGGACTGTCTCTGCACTTGTCCCAGTACGTGGGGCTTGTAGCCGTAGCGCCTTGGCGGGGCAGTGCCAGCAAGTGCCGAGGCTGGGTGGCTGTGGGGGAGCGCCCAGCCCTAGGGAATGGCTTCCTGGCCAGGAGGTGCTCCATCCCCTCCGTCTGTTCCTTCTCCATCAGCTCCCCCAATCCAGGTTGTCTCTGGTCCCTTATCCTCCCCCTCCTCCCAGAGCCAAGTCTGCCTCCTCCTCTCCTTCCTAGCCTGCCCACTCCTCCCTCTCCCACCCTGCCCGCGGAGCATCCTGCATGGAAGGCCTCAGTGCCCCCCCTGGCTCCTGTCCGGCCCGGCCCTAATGCCGTGTCTTTTCCCCTCCAGGTGGGAGCAGGTGCTCCGTGTCGGCAGTAAACCTGCCTAAACACGTGGACTCTATAATCAACAAGCGGCTCTCAAAGTCCTCTGCCACGCTCTGGAACTCCCCCAGTAGAAGTAAGAGAAGGCCCAGCCCCCTCCCTCCAGAGCCCCTTGTAGCCCCCCACCAAGCCTCCTCCAGAGCTCAGCAAGAACCCCAGGTTCCAGGACCCCTCACATACGCCAGGTCACCATCCCCACTCTACCCCACTCAGTGCTCTGTGCCCCTCAGGGGAGCTGGTGGTGGCGTCTGGGTCTGGACCCTGAGGACAGAGGTGTGCCCTGCAGGGGAGAAGAACAGAGACAAAGGGCAGTGTCCCAGCAGACAGAAAGCCTGGCTGGGGCCTCAACAGCAGGTGGAGGTGGGGGTGGGGGTGGGGGTGGGGGTAGGGATGGAGAGTGGGAATGGGCAGGCAGCCTCATCTCCAACCACTGCCAGCTGGCCTCGGCTAGCCTTAGGCAGGTGGCCTTGTGCCTGAGCACCAGACTAGCCTGGGTGCTGTGTGTGCAGAGGGGGCCCCTTATTCCAGGTCCACCCTGGAAGGCCCAAGCAACCCCACACCCTCTCTGCCTTCAGAGCCCTAGCCGGGGCTTTAGCTGGCTCCAGAGTTGTGGCCGACCAATGTGGCATGGCCCTGTGTTCCCACCATGCCCTGGTGCTCACATGTGAAGGGGCCATGGTAGGAGTTATTTATAAGTTTCTCCAGCTTTTATTTGGTTGTTCTGTTGCCTAGCAACCAAATCAGCTGCTGTACCAACTCCACCTGACTGAGGCTTAAAAATAACCCAGCAGCTGAGGGGACAGAGCAGGGTGGCCCAGGCCAGCCAGGCCCCCTAGCAGCCTCCATCTGGCCTGGGACACCCCTCAGTTAGGAGCACAAGGACCCTCACTGTCCCCAACCCATGGGGTCATCCTCCCCAGGCCAGCCCTCTGGTAGCAGGAGGAGCAGTGCTTTGCAGTGGGATGGGAGGAGACGGGGTCTTCCACCTAGGGAAAGTGGTAAAGGGGGCCCTCAAGCAGTGCAGGACACTGCCCTGGGAAGCCTCTCCTTGCCTGGGTCTGCAGTGGAGGTCAGGCCCCAGGGCAGACAAATGTGGCCCCACCTGACTGGGGTAAGGGTCCTGGGGGAAGCCTCCCTGGGCTTGGCACGGATGGTACCTAACAGCCCCCCTGGCTTCTGCCTGCCTGCCTAGGCCCCCAGCGGTAACCTGCTCCTGGCATTCTCCTTCTAGATCGCAGCCTGCAGCTGAGCGCCTGGGAGAGCAGCATCGTGGACCGCCTGATGACACCCACCCTCTCCTTCCTGGCACGGAGTCGCAGTGCGGTCACGCTGCCCCGCAACGGCCGGGACCAGGGTAGGGGCAGCGGCCCTGGGAGAGCGCCCACGAGGGGCGGGACAGGGGCCAGCCTCGCTCGTGGGCCGCACCCCGACCGCACTCATCCCTCTGCAGCCGTGCCGGTGTGCCCGCGCTCGGCCTCCGCCAGCCCCCTGACGCCGCCGAGCAACGCCCCCCGAAGCGCGCACCGCTGCGCCCCC